AAACTGGAGTGTCAGGTCGACGAAATTGAGCATTTTCGACAGCCTCTCTTTTATACCTCTACATAGAAATGCTAAAACCGCATGGGCCCAGCTGCTAAGTATATGGGCTGAAAGGCTACGTCTCTTAGGAATGCTAATAATACTTCAAGTGATTCGAAGATTTCAGTTTCGACCTCACAGACAAGCATCGAACCTAATGCCCTATTCTGTCCAACTGAGAGCTTACGGAATTTTTTGTTCACGGAAATTCACGTCAAAGTTCAAGGAACCGTTAGAGGTCATAGAATGCTTACCTATCACTGTCAAGCCTTACCCGGGGATATATACGGTGAATCGTAAATCCGGCGAACTGCCGTTCCCATTGGCCCTCTCTTTTTCGGAAATGTTTGGATGAAGACACACTTCACATGCAGAAGGAAGATCGCTTGGCGAAGCCTCCGACTGGTATGTATGAAGCTGTCATAACTTCTTTAAACAAGAAAATTTTGTAGAAATCTTCCATTGTCACAGTTAAGACCGTTTTCACGACAAATCCAAAATAGGGTCCGACTCCCTCCTCTTCGGCATCTTTGGGACTATGGAGGCGAAATGTTCCTAGTCCTTGCTTCGCCGGCCAGCCGAACATGGTCCTTTTGGCTTGGGGTGGTGACGTTGAAAAGATTTTTCGCCGGTGACCCTTCCCTGTATACGAGGTTTCAGCGAGCAAAACACTTCGAACTTTTCTGGTGGTAATGAACCTGACCATTCGGGAGCCAGTGGCCCTCACAGCTCCGTAAGCGTATAGGTCTCTGGCAAGAGCCTCCAGAAATTTTGCATTTCTCGCATTCTCAACTTCAGTAAGTGTTAAAAAAACGCCGTGTTAGCTTCAGAGTCACTAAACGAGCATCCTGAATCTTTCTCCACTTTTACCGTCTAGGCTTTCAACAAAGAACTCGTTACCTCCTGCCCAGGAAAAGGGATCTTGTTTTTCTCACTTTAAAAGTGTGAATGGTGTTATATGCGTGTTACTCCTTTTAATTTTTTAGTTGTTAATATGCGTCTGCTTACTAGCAAATGAAAAGCTCCCTTTACGATGTTGACGACTTCTGGAGGGGACCGATAGCCACTAGCTGGAGACATGGTCAATAATCATAACCCAAAAAGCTCGGAAATTTTTTCGGCGTAACTCTGAACGTAGGGGTACTTGATGGTCCTGATCACGGTTTTGACACTTATTTTTGGAGCGGGAGGCCATTTTGGGCCAGTTTGGCGCTCAATAGGGTCCAGGCTAACATTCACGTTAGTACGAGGAAAGCTTTGCACCAAATTGGCGACACACTGAGCCATATTCAAGAATTAGAGGGCATCGGATAATCCGTCTCAAATTTCAGGGGAAGTTTCTTCGATAGCGTAGTATTAAGCTGAGTAAGACTCTTTTGTCAACCATTACTGCATGGATGTGCCCCTAAATGGCGTATATCCCGGTCATAAACATTATCGGACCCACAGAAACACAAGAAGGAAGAAATCTAAAAAGCAAAAAATTAGTCTTCAGGAGGACCCGATCCACAACTTTCAGGCTGAGAGTCCGTCGTACCAGGATTCTGGAGATAGATGTCACGATGCACGACTCACCTGGTGAATCAAATAACTGTAAGGGGCTCAAACTACAGGCCAGCGAACATGCTCTTCCTGAAATGAGTACGAAAGAGTGAAGCTGTATTCCGGCTTGAAAAAGGCTTGATTGATCATCAGCGTTGTAGTATGCAGTGTATAACTCTGCCCAACAGAGAGAAAGAAACGAGGCAACGTACAACGATGGAGCACACAGAAGCACAGGCTATGAAAGTGGATCACATTACGAAAGGAGTCAGGCTGAAGAAAGAGTTTTTCAGACTCAATTAATTGAACGTACACAACAGCGCAATGTAACAGTTACTGTACAGTTACTTGGGAAGGGGGAGGATGCGCAAGGATTCAAGATTCTGGGTATTCATTCCAAACTCTTTTTGAGTGCCAAGGGATATACTACCTACTTACATATTATCCATGCAACGATAGGCAGGAGAGGGAAGGGGGGGGCGGGGGTGGGAAACGTTGGTCGAAACGCAGGCATGCGTGGCGCCCTTCCCTGAGCTCCCATCCCCCTCCTTCTTCAGGGGCCTCCTGTATGCAGAGACCACGACTCTATGTGCATAGTAAAGTTAGTGGGGTCCGATTTGGGAATTGAGCTACTCGCGGTAGTTGGAAATCCTGAAGTTATTCTAGCCTCAATATGCTCCTCAGTAATAACGCGCCCAAGATTTGTTGAAGAAACAGTGGCTCTAACGTCAAGCAATTGATGTGTTCTTCGAAGTTTCGTCTCTTTGAAATTCACCTGAGTAGCCAGCGCTCTACTGTCCATCCTACTTACAACTGAACTGCGCCTTCAAACTTTTCCTTATAGCTTTGCAATTATCAAATTTTTTTTTCTATTTCGAGTGCAGTATTTTCGACATTTTTCACATTCGCACGAGATATCCAAATGTGATGTATTGAACAATAAACAATAATATTTTATAGTGAAGTGTCCGACAAACGCCGAATACCGTGAATGTTCAAATATTTGTCCTATAAACTGCTACACCTTCGATAAGGTGATTCCCTTGCACAATTTCCTGTTTTCTTCCGAAGGTTGAATACTTCCAGCACCTATGCTTCTCCTTACGATGTGGAGGGCCTAAATGCGTTTGCAAAGAGGGATACGTTCAACTCTCCGCACACATTGAGCGTTGTGTCCCCATGGAGATCTGTATGTGAGTGTTAGCTTACCTACTATTATTTATCTCATAGAAAACCCAAGGATGGGTTGCTGAAGCAAAAAAGGCGGGTGCCATGGCCTCCAAGGAGAGCTAATTATGGGTTCTAGTTGCAAGAAATATACTTTTTCACGGGGCCAGCCAAAAAACTACCTGCCACTCACGTGGTTAGAATTTCCCTCTCTTATATGCAAGTGGCAGATAAATCTCCACATGCAGGATTAATACGCGCGGGACCTAATTCGGCACCCCTGAGCTGGCGCTGGGTGGTGATCTTCCAGAAGAAATACTCTCATGGCGCCTTACCAAGCTGCAACATATTGAACCGTACGCCCACTGCGCCGGCGCCGCCCACAAATGTCCGACCGATGCTGATGCTCGTATCGCTTCATTTGCGAAGTACAATATGAAGCGAAGGGATTGATATGAAGCGGCTGCGTGGATAATGAGTACATCATGAAGCCGTATGTAGCGTAGCGGTGATTGGCACGATACCAGCGGGGAACTCGTCCAAAATTGCTTTGTGAGCCGTGCGGATCGAAGGCTTTCTTTGCAGGTTTCTGACCGTTTCACTTGTCATCCCATTCAAAAGTGCCGTGACATATAGAGGAATGGCAGAAAAGCAAAGGGGATAGGGAAGCGGGCTACTATACCATTTGGAGGCTAGTACCTTTAGCTGTGTATCTGTGAAATTTGGCGAACCTACCCACAGAAGAAGTTCTCGAGAAATTGAAAAGAAGCCTGAGTGGTGAAAATCAGCGCCGGATTTTCAAATCAGACGTCATAAAAGGAAAGTGCGCTGCTCAAATTTGACCTGCGCCGGACCATAGTTGTGTGTAATGGGTGTTCTCGAAATACAAGGTGGAAGGTTTGGTTCAGGAGCCGAAGAAGGAAGAAAGGAAAAAATTTGTTGTCGTGGATGGTCCCATAATATTCATCCTGCACAAGAAAAAAGGGTGGATGAAGTCAAGCACTGAATGTCTGATCCCAGAGCCTGGACCTTTGTCGAGCTTCCCCGCGAGTCTGACATCCCAGCTGCAACTGCTGCCGGAACTATGTCCGATAAATTGAGGATGGTCAAGAGGGTGTGCGC